ACATGAATTGCTTACCTTAACAGTATAATAGTCTGGAATCACTATTGACCACTGTTTATCACTGTATATCTTTGTTTACTTATCTTTACCTGTGTTTAACACTGTAAATCACTGTTGACCCATGTTTACCACTGTATATCTTTGTTTACTTATGTTTACCTGTGTTTAACACTGTAAATCACTGTTGACCAATCTTTACCATTGTATATCTTTGTTTACTTATGTTTACCTGTGTTTAACACTGTAAATCACTGTTGACCAATGTTTACCACTGTATATCTTTGTTTACTTATGTTTACCTGTGTTTAACACTGTAAATCACTGTTGACCAATGTTTACCATTGTATATCTTTGTTTACTTATGTTTACCTGTGTTTAACACTGTAAATCACTGTTGACCAATGTTTACCATTGTATATCTTTGTTTACTTATGTTTACCTGTGTTTAACACTGTAAATCACTCTTGACCCATGTTTACCATTATATATCTTTGTTTACTTATGTTTACCTGTGTTTAACACTGTAAATCACTGTTGACCAATGTTTACCATTATATATCTTTGTTTACTTATGTTTACCTGTGTTTAACACTGTAAATCACTGTTGACCCATGTTTACCACTGTATATCTTTGTTTACTTATGTTTACCTGTGTTTAACACTGTAAATCACTGTTGACCAATCTTTACCATTGTATATCTTTGTTTACTTATGTTTACCTGTGTTTAACACTGTAAATCACTGTTGACCAATGTTTACCATTGTATATCTTTGTTTACTTATGTTTACCTGTGTTTAACACTGTAAATCACTCTTGACCCATGTTTACCATTATATATCTTTGTTTACTTATGTTTACCTGTGTTTAACACTGTAAATCACTGTTGACCCATGTTTGCCACTGTATATCTTTGTTTACTTATGTTTACTTGTGTTTAACACTGTAAATCACTGTTGACCAATGTTTATCACTATATATCTTTGTTTACTTATGTTTACCGTTGTGTTTAACACTGTAAATCACTGTTGACCAATGTTTATCACTATATATCTTTGTTTACTTATGTTTACTTGTGATCAACACTGTAAATCACTGTTGACCCATGTTTACCACTGTATATCATATGTATGTATGTATTTAGCTACCTATGTTTATTAATGTTTGCCACAATTTCAATGCTTATCAATGAGGTTTACTGTTGTTTACCCATTTGTATGTTTTAATCATGCATCCTTACCATACTTAATAATAGCTCTTTTAACCATTGATGTTTACCATGATAACAGTAAACTCAAGAGTTTGGATACATCATTGGTCTTAAATCAAGGGGGTGTCACTTGCATATAGACTGTAGTTACACTTGCAACCGCGATCAAAAGCTTTGATCAGGATAAAAAGACCTTTGACACCTTGATCTACAGGCTTGATTGCCCTTGATGCTTGATTTTGATCATCTCACATGCGTGCACAGCTAATTAAAAATTCATAGAGCTGCATAATCAAAGATATACGGAAAATATACATGTCTTGATGTCTCTACAGATTGTCTTGATCCCTTGATCTCAACTGGATTGCTTCTTTGATGTCTTGATTTTGATTTGATTGCGGTCGCAAGTGTAACTACAGGTTATATGCAAGTGTCACCCCCTTGTGAATCAGAGACCTTGGAATCCAAGGTCTCTGGTCTCTTGCTGCTCAGTTTAGCAGCCATTTTTACATTGCAGTTAACTTATAAACTTAAGTACACACCCAACTATGGCTTCAGCTAACACAGTATAGTCTACAGGGATTGGAAACACTCGGATATTAATGATTGATGCTCGTTACGGGTTAATTTGATTCAAAATGGCCGCCCTGTAGATGTTAAAATTACAAACCCTGTTTATTTCATATTTCTTGACGCTGCAGTATCACTGACACTTGTAACAATTCTATAATGTAAAAACTAATAGTTAGAATGAAATAAAAGTTGCATGCATAGCAAGTTTATCAAAAATAATCAATAAACGGCAGTATTCTTCACTTGCAGAAACAGCCTTCCAAATATCCACAGAACAAAAATAGTCACTTCATTGTAGCTCATTACATTGAAGAGATTCCTAGGGAACGATACTAATCCCACAGATTTTCGCTATTAGTCATAGTGAAGTTGCCAGACACCGTAGGTCCGACTATTCTTGATGTCCTCAATAAAACACGGCTTAAGAGAAAATTAAGATAAAAAACACTCAATACATTGGATAATAGTCACATCAATCTAGACATCTCATCATAATTGCTTTTGTGTCATCAATGTAGCAAAGACTAAGAGTACCAGTTTATAGAATACCTTCAAAAGACAGCTTTATGCAGCCAAAGTTTTCCTAGAATGGGGACTACCCAAATCTTAAAAAGTCATTGGACAGATGACTTTCTCGAGACTTTTCTGAAGAATATCCCTGCCATTCCCTGGATATCTATTTTTAACCCGTAACACGGAGGGCGGGTCTGGCCACGCGAGACTACTTTGATATCTATGCGCGCGCTATATGCTATAACACGCCTATGTTTTTGGGCGTTACTAGAATGCGGATCAGTGCGGATTGCTGCGGATCGTTCCGCACGCTGAACCAAGCACGTGAACGCGCGGAACGTGCACGGGCGTGTGCCTAGAATGCGGATCAACTCCCAAGAATTCAGAATATACACCATAACTTCCCGAGGATCAGTCCTCTTGTTCTTCTATTCCATTCAATCTTTATATGTTGCAATGTTTAACTGTTTATAAAGTAAAAATAACTATTTTTAAATGTAATAAATTTGAATGTATGAGATTTCAGTGATAATATCAAAAGCCTTCAGTCATTGGTCATAGAATAGATTATACTGCATCTAGATCTAGTTGCAATGAAATGAGTTACAATCTGCATTGAAAACAAACATATAGTTGTAAAATTTAAACAATAAAAGTCGCCTCACAAATAACAATTATTTTCATTGTGTAAAAATGATTATTATGATATTACCAAAAATATAAAATATTCTATTGGCCAAAAATTATTACCACCTACCATTTTTATTTGAAAGTATTCCTTTTACGTGATTACAAATACTGCTCTGA